ATATATTTGATTTATTACAAGGAATTGGCTCATGCAATTATGGAGGCTGAGAAGTCTTCTGATCTACCATCTATACACCAGAGACCCAAGAAAGCCAGGAGCTTAGTTTGCAGGCCAGAGACCAGAAAGCCAGTGGTGTACTTCCAGTTTGAGTCTGAATGCCTAAGAAACAAGAGAACCAGTGATGTAAGTTCTAGTCCAGGTCCTAAGGCCTGAGAACCAGAGAGCTGATGGTGTAAGCCCCAATCTGAGGGCAAAAAAAGACCGATGTCCCAGCTCAATTAGGCAAAGAGCAAATTCTCCCTTCCTCCACCCTTTTGTTCTATTCAGGCCTTCAACTGGCTGAATGATGTCCACCCACATTGGTGAGGGCCATCTGCTTTACTCAGTCTACAAATTCAAATACTACTCTCTTCCGAAGACACCTTCACAGACACACCCAGAAGTAATGTTTAACCAGATATCTGGGCATCCCATGATGCAGTCAAGTTGACACATAAAATTAGCCCTCACACTCAGTAACCTGTGATTTTGATCTGGTTCTTTAACTCTTCCTAGGCTCTTTCCTTCTCCGTGAACTGAGGAAAGGGGCTAACTTAGTCTAGTTCACAGGGGTGTTTTGCAGGTCAAATGTGACAGCAAATGCAAAACCGTGGCACACAGGAAGCCATCAGAGCAAATCAGCACCCATCCTTCCCACACCCCAGGGCCTCACTCAGAATCCAGGAGGGTTAGACATGATGACCACCTCAGAGATCCTGTACACCTGAGACAAGTCTATGATTGGGATCCGTCACTGACTGGAAATGCGAACTTGGTGATGAAACTTGTAAACTGGGCTCCAGAACAAGCATGCTATGGACACGCCACTGTGTGGTAGTCACTGTGTTACGGGCTGCATGTTTGTGTCCCTCACAAAACTCATATGCTGAAGCCTAAACCCCAAAGTGATGGTATTTGGAATTGGGGCCCTTTTAGAGGTAATTAGGTCTTGAGCGTGGAGCCCTCATGGATGGGATTAGTGCCCCTATAAGAAGAGACATGGAGAGGTGATCTCTCTCCCCACCATGTGAGGGCCCAGTGAGAAGGCTGTTATCTGCAAACCAGGAGGAGAGCCCTCACCAAGAACCCAACCATGCTGCCACCCTGATTTTGAATTTCCAACTTCCAGAACACTGAGAAATAAATGTCTGTTGTTTAAGCTGCCCAGTCTATTGTATTTGTTATAGCAGCCAGAGCTAAGACACACTGTGACCACAGCGGATCCGACCCTAATAGGCAGGTGCTATTATTATCCCCCATGTAGACTTAAGTGAAACTCTGAGAGGCTAAATAACCGGCCCGAGGCCCTTTATGGAAGTGGCAAGAGCAGGGTTTGAAGCTCAGTGTGTCCGACTCCAGAACTCATTCTCTAGTACAGCACTCGGGCCGCCTCCTAAGTAACGCAGCACAATGTAGATAGAGCGACAAATTTTAGGAGCAGCAAGTCCCTGCATGAACATCAGAGGAGATCAGATGCATCCCCACAAATCTCTGACCATTGTCCTTACTGGATGTTGGTGAGGCTCAGGCAGCTGTGAGGTCAGAGTCCAGTGATGACAAGGCATTTCATCTGATCACCTGGTGACAACCGCCTAAACGGCCACGTTGGAAGAGATTCTGGGGCCAGTTCTGGGCTCAGCAGGGAGGAGTTGTGATCGCTTGGCCACATCTGTCCTGACAGCTGGTGGGGGGGTGGTGGGGGAGTGGGTAGAGCATGGCAGTTGTACCAGCCATCTGTCCCTCTGAGTTAGGTGACTTGCTCAGCTTGTACAGTTTAGTAAGTTTTCCACAGTCACTGTTCAGCAAAATTCTGTAAATGGAGAAATCATGAAGTTCCAGCCAGACCTTTCCCGCCAGCCATAAAGGCACTGAGGAATGCAATGGGTAATGTGACTGATATGCTTGACGAGTGCAACACGTGGATTGTGATCAAACCACGGCTTTATTCTTATCTCCCACCATCTTCTTAAACTCCATTGAGTGGGGGTGATTTGCCCTGCCTAGATAAAAAAGCTCCAGGTGCACCCTCTCATTATGCTTGGATAATAGTCCTATAGTCACTTGAGTCCCAAGCCAGTTTGAGTTTAGGTATAGAATATCCAAACCCTTGTCACACTCCAGTCTGAATCTGCCTCAGAGTCAATCTCCCTCCCCAGCCTTGGTCCCTCAGAGGCACAGGCCTTCTCTCACCTCTGGCTCTGCTCACCTCCGCCCAGCCTGAGCTGCTGTTTTGCTCCTGCTAGTGACTAAAGTTGGGGGAATGCACAGGGAAAGGTAAGCCAGCCCGAACATCAGCTTCCCGTCCTCTGGGCCTAGGAGACATTTCCAGTTGATCCTTAGGGTGGCGTTTTCATGGGCTCTTCTGTGGCTCCCTGCTAGTAGTCCCCAGTCCTGGTGGCACATCCCCAGCCTTTTTCTTCTGAAGTCTCCTTGCGCCCTCCAGAAAGCACCACGGGTGGCTCCTCAGACACCCTCGAGTAGCTCTCTCCTGTGTAGCCGGCACTGCACAAGCTCTGGGGGTTCAGGGCAGTCCCTCCTCAGCAGCACCCTTCCCCAAACCTAAGCGATTGGCCAGTCATTCTCCCGCTCTCCAGATTTCCCGGGTTGGTCAGACTCCAGTCCCCAGGTTCCTGGGAATCCCAGGAAGCTCTCTACACTGGGCCGGACTGATATTTCTCAAAGTGGTCCAGAAGGATCAGCACTGAACTCATCTGGAAGCAGCTGTGAAAGTGCTTAGACCCGGCTCCTTCCGCTGCCCCATCGGCTGGACCAGCACCTGAAGGCGAGCCTGGAAATCAACACCAGCGTTGCCTGACAAAATACAGGATGTGAGAAACGTTTGAATTTCAAATGAACGATGAATATTTTTTAAAATAAGGATGCCCCAAACATTGCATGGAATACACATATACTAAAGATATTTGTTCTTTATTTGAAATTAAAAATTAAGTGGGCATACTGCATTTTTATTTGCTAAATCTGGCAACCTTAATCTGCACCAAACAAGCCCCCGAGGCTGCACATCAAAGTTAGAGGTCTGCTGGCCAGGACTGTGGTAAAGAAGGTCACCACGACAATGCTACCCTGGGGTTCTCTGGAGCATCAGCCAGGTAGTGGTCCTTGGCTGCCTATGTCATCATGTGCCTTCTTTCCTCTTTGGATTTCTACAGGTTCCTTACAGAGCACTGAAGTTTCTCTCCACTCGGGACCCCATGTTTGCCCAGGTCTACGGGGCACCATTCCCAGTGCAGTCTATAGGAATGGCGCCCTCTGGAATTGTGGCTGTGCACGGTGGCTTTGTCCCCATGGTCCATCCCTCTAACAGTTCAGACATGGTGCAATCCATTATTATTTTGAAGAAGCTTGGCAAAAAAATGCTGGGCAGCGAATGAGTATTTCATAAGAAATAGGGTCGAAGTCATGTGAATAAGGGGGATATAGACCCAGAAGGAAATGGATCATCCTAGAGGTGAGCTGTGATTTTGTCCAGATACTTTCGCAGAAAATGAGCAGCGGTTTAAGTGGATGTGCCCGTCACCCTTGCCTCCCCATCAGCGAGGTTAACTGTTGTCCTCCACCCTCCCAGTCAGACCCAGGACTGAGGCTCCTCTCGCCTCCACATCCCCATCCCCAGATCCTGAGCAAAGAAGGAAGCCACGGCATCCTGCAGGGAGGAAAGCTGGGAGAATGAGAGTACTGAGTCCAAAGGAAGGGCAGAGGGAAAGCCCGGGCTTCCTGGTGGTCAGACCCGGGCCGGGTGACTGATGTGCCAGTAAAGAAAGGCTTAGCTCTTCGTCAGGGCCAGGATATCCTGTTTGAGGAGGCAGGTGAAGTGTTATTCAAAACAGGTGGGGACAGCACCATCATCCCATGGCCACGCAACAGGCCTCGGCCCAACCCTGAGTGGACACCTGGGCACTAAGGAGCAGCCACCTTCAGGGGGCCATGGGACAGAGAAAGAGTAAGTCACATGTCCTGGAATTTCTTCTCAGAAAGTAGCCAGAGCCACACTCCTGGTGTAGCAAAGAGGGGCCACCACCCAAGTCATTTTGAGCTTCACAGCAGTTTTACTCATAAGCATGATCATCCCTTTTCTGCAGATGAGATAACTGAGGGAGCAACGTGGGCAGAGTAGACACGGCAGAGTGGAAAACGACCTGCAGTCACTTTGGGACGTGAAATTAGCGCATGATTCTCTTCCAACCATTGGGCCTGGCCAGCGGCCAGGAGGGCAGTACTGAGGATGCTCAGCCAGAGTCTGCTCCGGTCTGTGCACCGGAAGTGTAAATAAAAGATGTTATGGTCCTGTGTGTGATCCAGATCCTGTGACTGAGTCGCTGACATAAGGGGAAGCCCTGGGCCAGGTGTTTCCATCTCTGAGTCTGATCTTTTCGTCTTTAGAAATGGCCAGAGGCCTATCTGGAGATTTGGGAGCCATGGAGAATAAAACCAGAAAGTGGTGGGAGCAGGGACTGTCACCTGCTGGGCTGGGCATGAGGGGGCTCCAGGGCCTCTGAACCCAGCTTGTGAAGTCAATCCGGCGGCCCCAGGTCAGAGGCCTGAGTAGGGAACCACGAGGGCAGCTGTCCCGCGCAGGGCTTCAGTGCTGGGAGAGGGCCCCTGCAGCTCCTCCGCACTCTCAAGGGCCCAGCCCAGCAGCCCCTCATTCAGGCCTGATGCATGCATTCACAGAGGACCCCTGACATGACAGGCTCTGTGGAAGACAAGGCATTTGAGCCTGGAAAAAGGCTGGATGTGACAGGTGCCAGAAGCCAGGTGCCCACCTGGGACTCAGTGAGGGGCAGGTCGTGCCCAGGTCGGCGAGAAGGGAAAGTCTGACGGAGGGATTCGAGGATGACGTCCCTCGGTGCAGCCGTCTGAGAATCAAAGCAGCGAGAAGGGAAGGCTGCATGACCTCAGTCTGGGTTCTCCACTCACAGCCCATTGTGACATCGCTGGCCGGGCCTGGCTCTGAGAGTGGAGGCTCTGCCAGCGTCATTCCCCTTGGCCTTGAACTCCGTCACCTCCTAGGCCAACAACAAAGCCAAGGGTCATGCTCCTGTTCTCAGTTTTGCTGCTCACGTCCCAAGCCAAGGGTGCACGTGGCGGTATGTGGACTCCTCTCCCGGTGGCCAGAGCAGCTCTCCCCGGCGGGGCTGGGCGTGACAACAGCTCTGCTCACGTCCCTTTCACCCAGTCAGTGGTGAGCACGAGGGCCAAGGGGAGAGAGCTGGTGAGCGAGCTCACGGCTCAGCTAACTGGCCGCAGAGAGGCCGGCTCCCAAGAGTGCCGAGCAGTAGCTTCATGTCTTCCCACATGCCCTGCTTCAAAACCACGTCCCTTTCTTCTCTCTTCCCCAGCCCAACATCCAACCTGTCTGACCTTCAGTTTCAGTTTTGAAATCCGAGACTTTATCCCTGAATGAATAAGGGAGTACCCAGCGGCACGTGCCCCCATGAGCTGAGCATCAGTCCTCGGTTCAGAGTGGGAAGGGGGGCGCCGGGCCTTCCCTTCTCAGCAGCAGCTCCCCACAGCTCCCTGGTGGTGGTTCTCTCTCCAAGGGGGTGGCTGAGGTCAGAAGGGTGCTGGGTTACTTAGCAGCTGTTATGGGTCAAGTCCTTTCCCAGGTTTAATGCTCATATCGCGACGTGGGCACTCCGCTCTCAGCCCTACACACCGGTGAAGAACTCAGCCTTACGGAGGTTGAAGATTTGTCTGAGTCACACAGCAGGGAAATAGTAGAGCCTGGATTTGTCCCCTCTGACTCCAGTGCACACATTTCCCTCCTTGCACACTGCCACGTGAAAAGAGCACAGCCTGTTCTCTGGCCTGCTCCTCAGGCATGGGGTTGGCCACACTGCGTGTGAAAGGCGGGTGGTGCGTGGTGCTGGGAAAGAATCATCAGTACTTGCCCGTTCGCCAGCGTGTCCGATTGCCCCTGAAGCCTCAGATCATTCCTCACCCATCTGATGACATTGCCTGCGTCCTGCTCAGGGCCTTTGCACTCTAGCATTTACCTACAAGTCCACGGGAGTCCATGCTGGTGATGTGGGTTGTTCTCAGGACCAAGGAAACGGAGCCTGAGGCCTGGAGGCCGGCCCCATGGGGCCTTTGGTGCAAGACGATATGAGAAACTCTGACAGCTAAAGTGACTTGCAGATTTACTCTGTGCCAAGCAGTGTGTGGCACTTCAACACCCATTATCTCATTTAATCTGTAAATCTGTTTTATAGGGTAGTATTAGCTTATGTCCATTTCAGGAAGGAAGAAAGAGAGGATAAGGAGGGAGAAGTGGTTTTCCCCAAATCATACGGTGAGTAAGCCAGGATTCAGACTGTGGGACCCCAGAGCCTTGCTCGTGGCAAATGCCGTATTCTGCATCTCAGAGAGTCCACACAATTGGCACCCATAACAGTCATGGGTCACTCGACCAGGCTTCAAGCTCATAATCACTCTTAGTATTTTGACAATTTCCTCCGACACTCATAAGTGCGACTTTTTAACATCATTGAAATCACAATTTTTATGGGATTTTTTTGACTCTCCCCCTCAACCTTATGTTATAAGCATTTGGCTCACATCATGGAAAGCTCCCCATAAACATAATTTTTATGGCTGAATAGATGTGCCTTACTTTACTTAATCAATATTGAAGTTGTCTCCCATTGGCTACTGGTATAAAGACCCCTGCAGTGACCATCTGTAGACAAAATACTCGCTGCACTCCGGATTTTCCTGTAGGATGACTTCCTATGGGTGGAAGCACTGAATCAGAGCACCGCTCTTCGTTGTTGAGCGTCACCTCTGTGCCAGGTATGATGCCAAGGCTCCAGGCCTGGGACCCAGTGTCAACAAGACAGACACGTCTCCTTCCCCAGATGGAGCTTACACTCTGATGTCAGAGTCAGGCAGAAAGGGAGGAACACTGTGCGACTCCACGTGACCACGAAGTGGTGAAGAAACACCATGCAGGTAGAGAGCATAAGGAGGTAGAGTGACCAGGACGGCGGGGGCTGTGAAGACCTCTCTGAAGAAGTGAATCTTGAACAGAGGCCTGAACAAAGCAAGGGGGTGAGCCGTGCAACCACCTGAGAGAATATTCCAGACGGAGGGCAGCACTGAGTAGTGGTAAGAACATCACCCCTGAAGCCAGATCAGTCTTGGTCTGGCCATGACCAGCTGTGTGACGTTGGGCAAATTACTTAACCTCTCTGCACCTCAGCTGTCCCAACTATAAAATGAGGATGATAATAATACTACCTCCTCATAACACTACCTCTAAAAATTAAGTGAATTTGTCTTCACAAACTGCTTGTAATGGTACCTGACACATAGCACTATATGTGTGTTTGGTGAATAAGAGGAAGTGCAGATCCAAAAGTCCTGAAAAGAGCCATTCATACTACTGACAGGTGAAGGCTCTTGATGCATATTGCTAAATTTTCACTCCAGTGTTTTTTGGTTTTTTTTTTTTGAGGAAGATTGGCCCTGAGCTGTCATCCGTGCCCTTCTTCGTCTACTTTATATGTGGGACGCCTGCCTCAGCATGGCTTGATGAGCAGTGCGTAGGTTCATGCCTGGGATCCAAACCAGTGAGCCCTGGGCCACTGAAGCGGAATGCACGAACTTAACCACTGTGCCACTGGGCCAACCCGTCTAGTTTTTTCTTTTAAACCAAAAATGACCACCACTGGGTCACTCCAGCCCAAGCTACAAAAACCCTAAAACCCCTGTTGAGAGATAGTTGGAAAAGTAGCAGCAAGGAAGAGACAAGAGGGGGTCTTAGGCTCTTTAGAGTCAGACCCATTCCTTGTTCCAGAACACAAGACGGACGTTCAAGTCAGCAGATATTATGGAGCATCTCCTCCTCCGGGGGCCAAGGAGCTGGACCAGGACTCCGTCCAGAAGGCGATTTCTCCTCTCGGCACAGGCAGCTGCAGCCTTTGCTCTCGGCCTCCCAGGAAAGGGCGCTGCTCTGCCTGGTAGAAAATGTTCTAACCTAGAACAGCTCAGGGCTTCCAGTAGGTCAAGCCCTTTCTGTGCCTCCCTTCTGGTTTCCCACGTGTGTTGGTTTCCTGCAGCTGCTGTGACAGCCATAACTTAGAGCCACAAGCAACACAAATCTCTCATCTTACAGCTCTGTGGGATAGAAATCCAGCTCAGGTCTCACTGGGCTGAGATCAAGGTGTCAGCAAGACTGCATCCCTATCGGTGGCTCTTGGGGAGATCCTTTTGCCTTTCCTTTTCCAGCTTCTAGAGGTCATCCAGATTCCTTGGCTTGTGGCCCCTTCCTCCATCTTCAAAGCCAGCAGCTTTGCATCTCGGTGCCTTTCTCTCTTCTTCTGCCTCCCTCTACCACTGTTAAGGACCCTTATGATTACATTGGGCCCACTACGATTATCCAGGATAATCTCCCCATTTTAAGGTCAGCTGATTAGCAACCTTAATTTCTTCTCCAAAGTCCCCTTTCCCTTGTAACATGCACAAGTTCCAGGGTGTGGTCTTGTAGGCCACGGACATCTTTTGCAGGATCATCATTTGGACTACCACTCTGGGATTGGCTCTGGACCAGTATTTTCCTCTGATTTCTCTTGGATGAGCAGAAACAAGCTCAGTAAAGTGACTTGCTTGAGATCACAATGCTGGAGGGCGGACAGAGCCAACCCTTCTGACCCACATCCCAGGCTCTATGCAAAAAGAATAACATATCTTTTGCCTTGCTTGTGTTCCTAAGGGTGCTTCACTGGGCCAGCCTCAGTTTCCTCATCTCTAGAATGGGTATAATGATGGCTTCTTATCAGCCTCCTATGGATATTGACTAAGTGTTGCATCTTTTCCCCTTCTTTCTCTTCCATTCCACCAGAATGTGGCGAAAGACCCAATTTTGAGCGAGGAGCTCAGTATTCCAGAATCATAGAGGGGACAGAGGCTCAGGTGGGTGAGTTTCCATGGCTGGTGAGTATTCAGGCAAGAAATACCCATTTCTGTGGCGGCACGATCATCAACGAGTGGTGGATTCTCACTGCAGCTCACTGCTTATCTTCTGAGGAGCTGATGTAAGTATCAAGAGCCCGTCCCTGTTGCTTCTGACAGTGTCCACTCCCGGGGCTCCCCACGCTCAGCTAGAGCTGATTGATGAGGGCAATCCTAGCACTGGTCAGCCCTGAGTCAGGCGTGAATGACTACCACCCATCCCCCCCAACCCTGTGGATGAGGAGCCAGCGAACTTGAGCCTGGTGCTCTGCTGTGCCCTCCTTGTTGTCACCCAGGGCCAGTAAATGTGACTGCCCTGAGGTCACATGGTGTCCTCTCCGAGAACGTCTACGGCTTGGTGGAACCAAAGGGCTAGGTCCGTCCACCTCTCCAAGGACATTCATGCCCTTCTAGGAGGAAATTCTCCTCATTCTGGAAGTCTGGGTTCCTGGGCCATGTGTCGCTTCACTCTCCTGCTCCTTGTGGAGTTTTCTCTGCACTCCGGGAGATTGGTAGAAAAATCTGGCATTTACTGATTATTAATCATGTGCCAGTGACCTGCTAAGGAACTACCTTCATTGATTTATTTAATCATACAACAACCCCGAGGCAGGTAGAATGAATAACCCCTTTTTAACTCAATCTTACAACAACCCTCTGAGGCAGATAGAATGAGAAACCCTATTTTATACACAAGGAAACTGAGGTCCATTAAGGTTGGGTGACTCACCCAAGGTACACACCTAGTAGACAGAATAAGGATTTAAATCCTGGCTTCAGTGCTTGTGCTTCCTGCCACACCCGCTACACCACCTCGAGAAAGTCTGAAGACACACTGAAAGACTGCCTTTAAAGGGTTAATCAAAAACCTGGGGAAAGTTGCATCATGGCGTAACCAAGGAAGCTTGCTGCATCTACTCCCATGGGCTGCTTCAGGATTGGCTATTGGAAAGTTCCTGGCCATTCTGCCTGGAGGAAATCCCTGAATTATCACCAAAGATTCTTTCTGCTTAATCAGTGGCAAGTCTAGATTAAATTCTGTTCCTGGGTCTCTAAGTTGCTGGTAGACAAGTTGATGTAATAATACCCTACCTATCTGAGGGCTAGTTTCACCTGTGGCAAGTTGTCTTTTGTGGGTTCTTTGGAGTGCCCGAAGCCAAGTTCTGCCTCCGCATGGTTAGGCGGGAGTACCGCACTCACGTCTCTGGGACGTTGCTGGAGCAGCAGTGTGGCTGGGGTCTGCCACATTGGCTGTTTCTCCCTCCTTCTCTACCTTTTTCAAATTCTCACATCTTCTGAGCAACAGCCTGAGTAGGATAAGTCCTAAAGTCCCCTAGAACCGAATGGGATTTAGGGTTTTTGGGCACAGCAAATTCTGTGACTGTGTGACTTTCCTTCTCCTCCCACTTCCCTGTCTCTGGTTCTGTGCCACCAGTCCAACAGACCTGAGTATTGTGTTGGGAACCAACAGCTTAAACAGCCCATCCCTGGAAATGAAGGCGGTCACCAGCATAATTCTTCACAAGAACTTTACAAGAATCAACATGGACAACGATATTGCCTTGCTGCTGTTGGACTCGCCCATCACGTTCAGCGAGCTGAAAGAACCCATCTGCATGCCCACAAATTCCAACCTCTCCTCGTGGCGTGAATGTTGGGTGGCAGGATGGGGACAGACCCAAAGTGGTATGTGACTGCTCAGCATCTCCTGAGAATTGCTGCGGGAAGAGCCACATCATGGGCATCTGAGGATGGGTCACTAAATCTAAAGGCAAGGGGAGCAGGGTGACAAGGAGAGAGGGCTGAGAGAAGGAGGGAGGAGAAAAGAACTTGCATTGGAGCAAATCCCTGCACACCAGAGGCTCAGAGAGGCCCAGTGCCAAAGAAGGATGTCCTCGAGGCCCCAAGCTGAGATGCCGGCTGCCAGGCTGTGTCCTATCCAGCCAGCACAGAGCAGTCTTGTTTGCTTGTTTAGTTGAAGATAATCTCTTCAGTTTGCCAGGGGCCCCTCTACTCCTTATCCTCTCACACCTCCCTCGATTCACACATGGATGTTTCCCACCTGATTCCTACAGGCATTCAAGATGCCTGCCCTGCCCTCGACTTCATGGTCCTGGAGTGTTGCCCAGCCACTCTTGGAAATGAATCTGTTGTTACCTGTTGTTACTTGGCCAAAACAGGAGGAACTGTACCAGGGCAGAAAGGGATTATGAAAGCCCTCCTGGACTGTCCCCAAAGAAAACTCAGCCAAACCAAGAGCAAACAGGCAGAGGAGGGGTGGGAGCAGCGCAGCACTGACTCAGGCCTGAATACGACTCCAGGTCCACAGGGGTGCTTTGCTACGAACTGGGGTCTGGAAATTGGGAGGTATTTCAGGGCTTTAGTGACTAGAGGGCGACTAGTGTCTCATTGATTCCCAGCTCCAGGCACCACTCGAAAGTTAGAAGTGAGGAGGAGGCAGAAATTGCCCACATGATTAAAAATACTCAATAAGGGGAAGAATTTTGAAATTTCTGTGTGGTCAGAGTTAATGGGACGGAGAGACGTCCAGACAAACTCCTGGAAGCTGGCATCCAGAGAGGGTCTTGACAAATCCCCCGTAAAAACTCTCAGCCGACCTGCCCTTGCCTGGAGGACCTGAAGCCCTCTCCACCAGGAAGGCAAACCCACTTTCAGCAGCCCTGTGCTAGGAAAGGGCCACACTCACAGAATACAAGGCAGTGACAGGCAAATATGCTGAAAAGGCAGGAGGATGCTGAGAAAAGATCAATAGCCAATTCCAAGAAGTCAGGTCTGTGGGGCTGGCTGGAGTCAAGCCGGAAGTATTCTTGGAAGTAGGAATATGATTTTGAATGAGAGGGATAGTTCAAGGAGGTGGGGAATTGTTTGGAAGAGCCTGGAGCAGTGGAGTGAGTGAAGTTTGTGGGATTACCGGAAGGAAGTGGAGAGTGAGAGGCCATGAGGCTGTGAAGGTCGGTGTGGATGGGTGGCTGGTGGGACGCCGGGACGTGCGGGATGCTCTAGGGCACAGTCAGTTGCATTATTGGCCTGGGACTACTGTCCAGTGAATTTTCTAATGTGCTTTCTCTGTGGGCCAGATGACAAAAACACTATGACTACTGATCTGATGAAAGTACCAATGATCATCGTGCACTGGGAAGAATGTGTAAAGGAATTTCCAAAACTTACCAGAAATATGCTGTGTGCCGGATACAAGACTGAAAACTACGATGCCTGCCAGGTAACTAGGGGATATCCCCTCCCTCACCCCATAGGCCCCCATCTCCTCAAGGCTGCCAAAGCAAGGGTATCGTCTCTCCACTGGGAATAGGCAATAGGAGTCTGGAAAATGTGTGGGAATCAGGGCTCGGCCATGGGAATGGGGACATGGATTGGGGAGTACTCATTGTCAGATCCTTGGGATATCAGTGCATGCCTGGAAGCCAGTGTCCCGCAACCCTGCCTAAATATTTCTAGTCTTCTCCAGGCACACCAGACAAACAGGGCTCCAAGATTTTTTTCATTTCTGGGACTTACTAAAAAACAAAAAGCCAAGGAGGATTTGAGATTTATACAGAGAGTCATTTTAATCAATTAATTTAGCAACCTTTGTTGAGCAGACTAAGCCCTGTGGATGCAACCACGAATGAGGATGGTTTCTCACTGAAAGGAGCCCACAGTCTCCTGAGCAGGCAATTGGGTAAACAACTATAATGTATTGAATGATACATGTGGGTTTCATTGAACCAAAGTCAGGTATCTTATCTTCTCTTTAATAAAATGAACACAAAAATTAAGAAAGAAGAACATTTTTTGATTGTTGCTAGAAAAAATAGGAAAAAAAACCCATCAGAAATTAGCTTTCTCTGGCTCTAAGGGTGAATGATGGGATTTATCTTTACAGCTCAAAGGTTCTCTCTTCATATTGGAGGCGTCATCTGGATGCGCCCACTTAGTTGTACTCGTTGGCTGGGCAGTGGATCTGGTCATTGGTGTAAAACTATAAATTCAGATGTTAAAGATTCTGTAGAGTGGTGAAAAGGCTGCCTCATGGAAGGGGAGAGTATTTATCTACAGAATTATGTATTACCATTTAATGTCAGGAGGGTGTAGATTTCCCTGCTAGACTACGAGATAGAGTTTGAGAGGGAGTCGCCAGGATAGGGGCTGGGGGCATCAAGAGAGAGGAGAATGGAGAAGGGGCTCAAAGGTAAGAAAGAGTGGACTCCAGCAGTAATGGCACCAGGTTTAGCAGGCGTCCCAGTGTACTGAATACTGTGAGGACCAGAAAGAGAGACAAAATCAATGTCACATGAACCTTGTGTTTTCTTCACGTTCTGGACAATTTAAAACATTAAGATGGAGTAGACACCGACACTGCCCCTCTCCTTTCAGTCTCTGATGCATCATCATCCCATATTCACACGGCCAAAGCCAACTGTGGCAAATCAAGCGTCGTCTTTGATGACATTTTCTGTGCCCTTTGCTTCAGTGGCTGGATCCACCATCTGGAGTCTAGGAGTTTTGCCTCACTCCCTCCCCTATCAAAATGTCCTTCAATGAAAGCCTCTAAAACGAATCATCTATTGCTCAAGTGCTATAAATAAATGCGCTGTTATCATTTTAAGCCTTTTTTAAAATTGGGAAGTGAAAGCTTTGCTCTCTGTTTAGAAAGCTTTCTATTGTTAACAATAAGCTGACAGTGATCCAGTCAAGGAAATTTTTCTGAAGTTATACAACATTATCATCATTTAAAAACATATAAACTAAGCAGAAAGTCCCTTAGAGCTTAAAAATAATTGCCCTTGAAAATAAAATCATGCTTTTAAACTTAGCAAACTCTTTTTTTTCTAGTGAGGAAGATTGGCCTTGAGCTAACATCTGTTGCCACTCTTCCTCTGTTTTTTTCCTCCCCAAAGCCCCCCAGTTCATAGTTGTAGGTTCTTCTAGCTCCTCTCTGTGGGACACTGCCTCAGCGTGGCTTGATGAGCGATGGTAGGTCTGTGCCCAGGATCCGAACTGACGAACCCCAGGCAGCCAAAGCAGAGCACACGGACTTAACCCATCAGCCACGGGGTCAGCCCCATAAACTTAGCAAACTTTAAAAAACCATATAATCATATAATTAAGGGAAATTATAATTTTATAATGAAAGCATTTAAACATGTTCAAAATAATGGTGATAAGATTATGCTATGCTTAAAAAACAAATTAAAATTAAATGCTAACATTAAAAACAGTTGGATTTTTTGGTTTACTTTTCCCAGCACTTTTTTTCTTTGTAATCCCCTGACTAAGGTTATACTATATATATACACACACGTATATACGTATACATATAAAGTTCAACTTAAAAAAATAATTTTTAAGTGGCACAGTCAAACAAAATATAAAATCACATATCCCCAGCTAGTAATGCAATACTTTTTTGAAGGATTAGCAACCTTCTGGAGGAAGAGTCATCACAATGACTTGCACTGTCTGTGTTCTTATGTGTCTCTTCAGCGCCAGCAGAAATGTTGTCTTATTCGTGTGTGAATTCCCAGCGCCTCGCCCAGTGCTTGGCGCATAAAACATGCTCAACAAATGTCTGTCAGATAGATGAAGCTTCCAAGGAAGCCAGCAACTCTCTGTCGGGAAAGCAGCTGTAGCAGAAGGGACATCTGAGAGAGGTCCGAAGGAGGCTGAGAGTCTGCAAGGGGAGGGGGCGAGAGCTGGCAGCCAGCTTGGCTGTTGGGCAGTATGGTCACCAGGCTGTCAAGCTGACCTGGATTAAGACCTGAGCTACTTGTTCTTATAGACTTTACTATTGTTTTTTATGGCAGTTTTAGGTTCACAGCAAAATTGAGAGGAAGGAAGAAATTTCCCGTATACCCCCTGTTCCCACACATGCATAGCCTCTCCCATTAGCAACATCCCCCACCAGAGTGGCACATTTGTTACAATCTATGGACTCGCGTTGACACAGCAGAACCACCCTAAGCCCACAGTTTACCTTAGGCTTCATTCTTGGTTGTGCATTCCACGAGTTTAGACAAATGTATATTGACGTGTCCATCACGACGGTATCATCGAGAGTATTTTCACTGTCCTGGGCTGCTTCCCAGGGCGCTATCTCGAGCACAGCACCCACGATACGTACGCAGAAGTCTTATTTCATTCCATAGGATCTTTGACTTTTAGAATCTCAGACTTTTAGAGCTGAAAAGAATGTATAAAAATATTTAATCAAAACTCTGTTTTACAGATGAGAAAACAAGGTGATTTTAATCATCAATCATTCCCTTCACTATCGGAATGGATCCAAAGCAGTAAAATAGCTTCGTAGCTCTTTCACACGTATTCAGTAATTTCACTCTCTCCACTGCTCTGGAAGATGGGCTGGGCCGGTCTCCCTCTCCTTGTTTAACGGATAAGAAAACAGGGATTGAGAATGGGAGGGATTTGCCCAAAGTCCAGGTAGTGGTGGGGCCAGGCTGGAAGCCAGGTCATCTGCTTCGACCCCAAATGGACAGGAGGATCGTGTGTGTGATTATCTTACACGGTGAGCACGGGCGGCTCTTGTGGTCAGTATGTTTCTAACCAGTCAGGTCCCTGGCTACCAGCTTTAGTCCTTGGAAGAAAGTCCCCCTTAGGTGGGCTGTTATGAGTCCCGGGTCCTTGCTGAGTGAGGCCACACCCTCCTTTGAGGTAATCCTTGATTTCTTTCTAAGAAAATGACCTGTATTTACAGGTGTCCCTCTTGGGTCCCAGCAGTCCTGAAGGGATCCTCTGTTTCCTAAATATACAAGTAATGTTTGTAATACACAAGGGTAAAATAATAATACTAATACATTTCTGGAGCACTTATTACATGGCATTTACCCTGAGCCGAGCGATTTCTAGATTTTTAAAAATTTATCTGCCAATGATCTTGGAAAGCAGTTGGCATTATCTCCATTTTAATAACACACAAACTGAGGCTTAGAGAAGTTACTTGCCCAAGGACTTTTCTCCCCCTGTTATGTAAAGAAATAACAAAGAAGCCAGGCAACATATTTATAAAACTTTTGTAACATTCATGCCTGCAGAAAATGAAGAAAATTATAAAAACAACATTTATGGAAGGAGCTGTTTGGGTGGAAATCCTGTTGATTTAGTTCTTGCCTGATGACTTTGAAACAGAAATAACACAGAAAAGCACATCCCCACAAAAAACAAAGTGGTAGAGGCAATGTTTTGTACTGGAAAGGGTAATTTTGGTTTTGGCCCACACTTCCTTGGTGTCTTTGAGCTCTGATCTCTCTGTTAATTCTGCCCCAAATATCCCTCTGCTTGGTGATATGTTCCACGGTCAACCCACACTCCACGTGAACACAATTTACTCATTATCTCCCCTGCACTTTATTTCTGTTAACCACATCCCGTAACCTTGGAACTAGACCTCACCGTCCTGTGCAATGTCACCAGTCACCAGATCATGTCAGTTTCAATCCATCTCCCTCCATTCCGACCTTCTCGTGCCCTGGTTCAGATCCTCATCATTTTCCCCTCCTCTTAACTAGTCCCCTCTACCTCCTGTCTGACTCCACTCAATCGATCCTCCACATACACCCTTCCTGTCAAATTCCTCTTTATCCTTCAAACTCAATGCTTTGAAGTCTCTCTTGACTGACCCTTCCCACAACAGAATCAGATCCTCCCCGCTTTGTCCCGCTTCCAGATCTTCGTGCTTCTCCTGTCCCATCAAATGCAGTTCGTCCTATTTGCTTACATTTTTATCTCCCTCACTGGACCATAAGGTCTCGTATCCCAAATGCCTGACAATTAGTCTTTCCTCAGTGAAGATTTGTTAAATGAGAGTGATCGAATCTCTTCTGACCTTCCATTTTCTAACACGGGGATCAAAATGCCTACCCCCCAGAGATGTGAGGTGGTAGGATTAAAGAGAAGAAAAGTCAATGGGCTAACGCTGTGCCTCACACATCATGTCCAGGAAACATTCATCCTCCTCCCCTGTTAGAGTTCATTATAAGATGCCATTCATTCTAGTCGCCTATTTACCATCATGCGAAAGGAGATGTCTCTCCACTGAAGAAAGACCGATTAAAACATTGTAGCCACTCAGCTCCTTTGATGAGAGGCAAGGTGGAAAGAACATGGGCTTTGGCATCAGAAAGTCCTGATTCCAACTCTGGCCTGGCTACCAGGTAACCCTGAGCAGGACTTATCCTCCTTAAGACTCATTTTCCCTGTATTAAAATAGATGGAAGGAAGCCATATATATGTGGGTATACCATAGGGACTTCATACATGTTTTCTAGACAAATAATCAGATGAGTCATAGACCCACATGATTCCACCCCGGAGGGACCACAAATTCAGAAAAGTCTAGCTCACTTTCCCCTGCAAACACCCACACCAAAGAATTAGAAAGGAACATTATTCTCCCTCACGCCTCTGGGAGAACATCAAAGGAGACCCAATTCATATCCACAACCCCAACAATGCTTCTCGCATCCTATTCTCATTCCTTCCCTTTACAGAACTTTCCAGAGCTTCTGATTTGATAAGACCCACAAAACTAGTCCCCACTCTTCTCTTAGCCTGTGCAACATCCATCTGCCAGCTCCTCTCGTACTGTGCTTCAGATGGAGTTATTTTCTCACTGAGCCCTTCCTCCTCCTCCCCACTCTTCAGTCCTGTCCCATCTACTGCTCACCAACTCTACAACCCACAACTCCCAGAGCCACCCTGACAGCAGCACCCTCCTCCCCTGGACCCAGGGTAAAGGTGGGCATTGGTCAGCAATGACAAGATTTCCTTTGGAAGCCTGGAGTAGGGGAGATCAAAGATTCCTCTTCCATTAATGAGCTGAGCTGTGCCTCAGATGGACAGTTTAGGATGGGACTTTCTACTGAACTGTGTTCTCTGCCCACAGGGTGACAGTGGGGGACCTCTGGTCTGCACCAAAGGATCTGGCAGGACGTGGTACCAGGTGGGCATCATCAGCTGGGGAAGGAGCTGTGGACGAAAGAACATTCCAGGAATATACACCTTGTTAGAAAATTACAACTTCTGGGTCAAGAAAGTAACTGAGTTAGAAGGAAGGCCCTTCGATGCTAAGAAAGTGAGATCTCCTCCCAAAGAGAAACCAAGGAGCTCCCAGGCCTCAGAATTCCCAAAGCCAGGAAGCCCCAGATTCTGGCTCCTGCTCTGCCTTCTGTCCTACAAGCTATTCTAGGCCATTTTCTACCAATAATAAAACAGATGCTATTCCTTAACCAAGGAGGGTGTGTAAGAATGTGCCACCAGCAGAGGGACTGGCTACAGATTAGAGCTAAAGACTAGGAACTGAGGTTGATAACAGAAAGTAGGACCAGAAAGTCAGGCCTGGTTTGGGGACTGGGCTTTGGGTCCCTGCGTTAGTCAGGACTCTTTCCATTGCAGGTGAGTTCTTGAACTCAAACTGTCTAAAGCCAAAAAGCATTACTTATAGATGTGCATGACAGAAAAATCCCAGGAGTGGTAGGTTGGCTTTAGGCATGGCTGAATATAGGGGCTCAATAGATATTGACAGGGACTATTTCTTGTTTGTAGCCATTACCCTCAAAAAGGGCTTCCAAGTGGTGGCCATAATGACCACCAGTACTTCCAGTTCGCATTCTACCAGCTTGGTAGCCCCAGGAGGAAGAAAGAGTCCTGTTCCTGATAATTCCAGCAAAATTCTGTGGTCTAACTCTTGTGACCCACGGCCTGTTGCCGACTCAATCACTGTGGCCAACAGTGGTACTCTTCTAGTCTAGGCCCGCGTCACCTGCCCACTCCAGGAGCCAGCAAAGGGCCAGCCATCGAGAACTATGTGCATTGATAGTGAGGGTAGGTATTGCCACACACAGAAATCAGGGTGCTGTGAACAGAAAAAGAGAACTGGGTACTGGAGTGGTCCTTTGATGGTGGACATTCTGGCTGGCTGACCTCCAGGCCAGCCAAATCCAAGGGTCTTGGGAGCTTCTGAAGAAATGATGTCCAGAGCTTGCTGCTTTAGGACTGCTGGGGGAGCAGGGCTAGAGCAGGGAAAAGGAGAACTGGGGAGCTTTTTCTCTCACAATCTCTTTCTGAAAAAGTATCAGCCATGCTGTAGTTCATGGGAAAACCACAAATTTCCATTTAAAGCTTTGCATTTCCTGAATTGCCACCACGTCTTCAGTGGAAGCCCAGGGAATCCAATGGAGATCAGAGCCAGAGGAAAGAGGCACAGGGCAGCCATTCAGTCTTGGTATTGAGAACTCAGTGTCTGGTGCTGTGGGAGATTCAGCAGAAAGCAGGAGCCCATTCTCAAGGAGCTTCTTGGCAAACAGTGATACACGCTACACTCAACCCTTCCGACCGAGTTCTAGAGGGCGTGGGAGCTGAGAATCCTGCGGAGTGCAGAGGAGGCTATCACCACGAGCCGGCAGAACCCAGAAGGCTCCTAAGAAGGGCGGCACCAAGAAGGAGGGTCAGCTGTAGGGAGAAGTAAGGGTGCCTCTCCAGGCATGGGGAGAGAGCCAGTGAGGGCCGGGTGGGGCTAAGCATTGTCAGTTTGGCTCAAGAATATACCTGAAGTGAGAACCGGTAACAAGCTGGGAACGGGAGAAAGAGAGCAGACTCTGATGCTCCAAAAGAGAGGACTCCCGAGACAGAGACTGAAAATAAGATGATTAAAAAAAGGAGGATCCTTAGGAAAAATTAAAGTTGCCCAAGAGAGGTGAAAATGAGTTGTTGTCCTCAAAGTAAGTGTAAGCATGGGCACATTCCTAACTCAAACACATGTGAGCAACGTGAACCACTGTGTGAAGGATAGCTGGGGAGTGTGATGGTTAATTTTACTTGGAGGGTGTTTTTGGAAGAGATTAACATTTAAATAAATGCCTTCTATAACGTAGGTGGGCCTCATCCAACTAGTTGAAGGCCTACATAGAACAAAAAGACCATCCTCCCCAGGCAGGAGGCAATTGCTCTAGCAGACTGCCTTTGGATTGCACCTGCACTAACATCTCTCCCAGGTCTCCACCTGCTGGGCTTCGGACTTTATCACCATCAGCTCTCCTGGGTCTTGAGCCTGCCAGCCCACCCTGCAGATCTGGGCTTGCCAGTCTCCGTAATCACACCAGCCGATTCCTTATAATAAATCTCTCTCTCTCCCTGCACATATATATGTGTGTGTGTATATATATATATATATATATATATATATATACTTCCTATTGTTTCTCTGGAGAACCCTGACTAATACAGTGATGAATATCTTCAGTACAGTGAAGGGGCCTGCTAAGATAATGAGGTGGAAGCAATGTTGTCATTGCGCATTTAACTAACAAATGCCATGCTTTATCATGATTTGGAAACCATTAAGTTTAAACATTATCCAGATAATTGACTTGTGATTAGTTGTGCCACATGTATGTCCCATCTGAGTTTTAATACCTAGAGTGGCAATTCCTAACCTACACACTGAGGTGCCCCAGGGCACTGCCACAAACTTGCAGGGATGTGATGGAAGCAGACAGACATCTGTCGGGCATCGAGGGAAATGGCAACATCCGTTGGACATTGAGCGGACTACTACTGTTATTTGGACATAACTACTTAATAAATCTAATTATTCAGTATTTCTTTTGGCCTAGGAGTGCTGTGAAAAAAATTACTAAGACACTAAGGGCCCGTGAACTGAGAAAGTCTGGGATCTGACCTAGGTGATAACTGCTGATGTTAACATTTAGTACTTAAGAATAAAGCCTGGATTGTTATAGCAATTTTGTGCATCTTGGCTGTGACAAGGTTCTCAGACTTACTTTGTTTCGGGTAAACTTGACAGTTTTTAGAAGTGCTGGTCAAGCATATTGTGGAATGCCACTTTCCTGGAATTTGTCTGCTCTCGTCTCATGATTAGACTGGAGTTGCAGGTTTGGGGAGGAAGATCAGAGATGGTTAAGCACATTCTCATTGCATCGTGTCAAGAGTCCATAGCACCAACATGATTTATGATGTTGATGTTGACTCCGATCACCTGGTTGAGGCGGCGTTTGTCAGGTCTCTCCACTGTAAAACTAGTCTTTTTTCCTTCCTTTCCATACTGTGCTCCTTAGAAGGAAGTCACAATGCACCGCCCACTCTTAAGGAGTAGGGAGGTAGGCCCTGCCTCCTTTAGAGTGGAGTATATTTGGAATTCTTCTGCATGGGAGATTTCTCTCTCCTCCTCCATTTATTACTTTATTCAATCATTTATGTATATCAGTATGGATTGATGGATATTTATTTTTTTACTTTGGGTCATAAAACTATTTATTTTATTTTATTTTTCAAATTTTCCAGCTTTAGTCATTGGGAGCTCTCTGTTGGCTTCTGTGCCATTTTGGCATATCCCCCACCAACTGTGTGTGTGTGTGTTTTAAGTACTTTTTTACTTTCCGGCACTGCAAGATGCTAAAAAGGAGCTTAGATTTTAAGTTATGAACCAATGAAATTCTTTTTGTTTAAGTTTGGTTTCTGAGTCTTGTAAATGGAAGAGTTCCAACCCATGTCAAGGGGATCAGCCACACTCCTGCACACTTTATATTTTAAGTTTTTTATATTTTTGATAAAAGTTTTATATGTTTAAGGTGTAACAATGTGATATTTTGATAAATGCGTACACTGTGAAATGATTACCAAAATCAAACTAATTAACATCCCCATCTCCTCCCACAGTTACCTTTTTTGTGTGTGTGGTGACAACGCTTGAGACCTACTCTCTCAGCAAATTTCAAGTGTACGATATATTATTATTAACCGCATTATGTTGCCATGCTGTCCATTAGGTCTCCAGAGCTTAGTCATCTTATGACTGAAAGTTGGCACCCTTTGATCAATCTCTCTCCTTTTCCCCCACTGCCCAGCCTCTGGTAGCCAGTATTCTGCTCTCTGTTACTATGAGTTTGACTTTTTTTTTTTTTAAGATTTCATATATAGGTGAGGTCATGTGATATTTGTCTCTGTCTGGCTTATTTCACTTAGCATAATATCCTCTGGATTCATCCAGGTTGTTGCAAATGGCAAGGTTTCCTTCTTTTTAAAGGCTGAATAATATTCCATTATATATGTACCACATTTTCTTTATTCATTCTAATAGTGTTTAATAGTGTCTAATAGACACGTTGTTTCCATGCCTTGGCTGTTGTGAGTAATCCTGCAGTGAACATGGGGGTGCAGATGTCTATTTGAGATACTGATTCTATTTCCTTTGGATAAATACCCAGAAGTGGATTGCTGGATCGTGTGGTACTTCTATTTTTAATTTTTAAAGTAGCCTCCGTACTATTTTCCATAATGGCTGCACCAATTTGCAGTCCCACAACCATGCACAAGGGTTCCGTTTTCTCCACATCCTTGCCAATGTGTGTTAGCTTTTGACTTTTTGATAATAGCCCTCCTAACAAGTGCGAGGTGATATCCCGTTGTGGTTTTGATTTGCATTTCCCTAATGATTAGGTGAGTAGTTGAGAATCTTTTCATATACCTGTCGACCATCTGTATGTCTTCTTTGGAAAAATGCCTTTTCAGTTTCTCTGCCCACTTTTGAATTGGGTTATTTGTTTTTTTGTCATTGAGTTGTATGAGTTCCTTATGTGTTTTGAATATTACCCCTTTATCAGGTATATGGTTTGTAAATATTTTCTCCCATTTCACAGGTTGCCTTTTCATTTTGTTGACTGTTTCCTGGCTATAGAGAAGCTTTTGAGTTTGATGTAGTCCCACTTGTTTATTTTTGCTTTTCCTCTATGTGTTCTTCTAGGAGTTTTACAGTATCAGGTCTTACATGTATGTCTTTAATCCATTTTGAATTGATTTTTGTGTATGTGTAAGATAAGGGTCTAATTTCATTTTTGCATTTGGATATCTAGTATTCCCAAT